TGGGTGAGATGAGGTCTATCGCCTTCACTGTTACCAGGCAGTCTGGCCAGCACCTCCTGGCTCTCTTGATCCAAGGTCTCTCGACCGTGCTGAGGAACGGCTTCTATCTCAGCACGCGGTGCTGGCACGGCCTGCCTTGTCTGTTTGCACAGGTCTTTCCACAGTTTTCCCCAAGGCACTGGTTATAGAGACCAAGGCCAAGGCGGTCAGGCGCTTGCCGGCCCAGCAGGCTTTCTCAGAAAGGCTTTTCTTGCTCTGTGGTTCAGGGCTGATCAGCAGGAGTCCCTCCTCAGGAGAGATCCACACCCCTGCCAGGGACTCCAACGTCACATCAGTGTGAAGATGGCTAATAGCACTCTACTACAGTCCCTCTGAGCCAAAGTCGACCTGAAGCTAAGTGGCCTGTGTGTGTCTGTCCATGCAGGCTGCCTGCCAGGCCTCTCCCCCCACCCCACCAGGCCTCCCAAGGAACGCCCCCTGGCCTGGTCACTGGGACTTAAGGCAACCTTCCCTCAGGAGATCTGCCAGCTGGCCAGGTCACTGTCCTCCAGACTTCCTGGCGCAGCCTCATAAGCATGTCCAGGGCTCGTTCATCTCTTCACTGAAACATGTCAATTGGTATCCTATCAGCCCTGGGGGCCTTAGTTTTTGCCAAAGCCTTCAGTACAGCTTGAATGTCTTCCTTTATTACCATTGGTTCTTGATCAGATGCTGCCTCTTGAAATGGTTCGGTGTCAGCCAATTCTTGTTGCTACAGTGACTCTGTATATTCTTTCCATCTTCTCTGGATGTTTCCTGGCTCATTCAAGATTTTGCTCACGACATTCTTCAGTACGGCAACTTGAGGCTTGAATTTGTTCTTCAGTTCTCTCAGCTTGAGAAATGCCAAGCAAGTACTTCTCTTTTTCTTTTCAGGTTCCAGCTCTTTGCATATTTTTGTCACAAGATCCAGAAGAATGTGGAAACTTTATAGTTTCATTTTACAGTATCATTAAATTCACATACAAGCAAAATCTTGCCAAAGACTAGTCAAAACTTGCTGGAAAAAAAAAACCTTGCTGGAACAGTACACTGACAGAGAACTGTCAGAAATTCAGCCCAGATTTAGAAGAGGCTGTGGCATATCATCGCTGATGTCAGGTAGACCATAGCAGAAAGCCGAAGATACCAGAAGGATGTCTATCTGTATTTTATTGACTACCAAAGTCATTTCACTATGTGGATCATAACAAATTGCAGCTAAAATTGAGAAGAATGGGAGTCCCAGTACACTTAATCATGCTCATGCAAAACCTGTACCTAGACCAAGGTATTGTCCAAACAGAACAGAGGAACACTGCACGATTTAAAATCAAGAAAAGTGAGTATCAGGGCTATGTCCTTTCTCCATACCTAGCCAATCTGCGCGCTGCACTAATCATTTGAGAAAACTTATGAAGGACTTTCTGAGGAGAAACGTGGCATTAGGATTGGAGGAAGATTCATTAGCAACCTGCATTGTACAGACGACCCAACCTTGGTTGTTCTAAGTGAGAAGGACTTGAAACATTTGTTGCTGAAAATCCAAGACTGCAGCCTTCAATATGGGTTATATACCAACACTAAAAACCAAAAATCCTCCCTATTGGACCAACAAACATCATGAAAGACGGTGAAACGATTGTAGTTATCTCACTTGGATCCATCATCAACACCCTTGGTATCAGCAGTCAAGATCAAGGGATGTATTGCAAGGGTAAAATCTGCTGTCAGGGACCCTCCAGAGTACTGAAGAGTGTGGTGTGCCTGTCTTCTCAATTGCTTGCTATGCATCTGAAAGTTGGATAATGATTAAGGGTGACAGAAGAAATAAACGACGCCTTTTAGTCGTGGTGTTGAGAAAAGTACTGAATAGCCCATGCACTGCCAAAAGAACAAACAAGTCTGTCTAGGAGAAAGTGAAACCAGAACTCTCCATAGACTAAGGATGGGGAAACGTCATCTCACATTCGCTGGCTGTGTTGTTCGGAGGGGCCAGTCCCTGCAAAGGAGTGTTGAGCTTGGATGGTGGCGTGTAAACGACAGGGACCTGAGGAAGAGCCTCACGGAGATGGACCGAAGCCACATGCGTTCTTACGCTCCCTCATCAATGCCATCTGTCCTCACAATTTGCTGTTCCAGATTGCTTGTAAAAAACCTAAACAAATGACGTTTAAAATAAAAAAGTAGATCGATACGTTAGCAGTCGCAACGGGCCCAAGTACATCAGAGACAGTGAGGATGGCACAGGACAGGCCAAGGTTCAGATCTGCTGTTCGTGGAGTTGCAGTCATCTTGACGGCACCTCACACCACCTGCAGGGTGGGGGTTCTCTCGTCCTGTCCTCTCCTTCATCTTCTCTGCCCACATCCTTCCAGTTGACCGGTGAAGGGTGTACCTACGTGCCCCCAAGAACTGAGAGCGAGAGTTCACGGGGACACCTGAACCGGGTGGAAAGGACCTGGCACCAGCTGATGGATAAATAAGAAGCCATCCACATGACGGGGTCTTCACTGGCCACGGAAAGGAGTGAGGTCCTGTACAGGCTACAGCCTGTGCTCAACCACCACAGTAAAAGAGCAGTCTCAGGATACCACCAGCCCGAGAAAGTGGAGGCAAACACACAGAGAGCTACTTTCATCAGAAGTCACCAGAGGCGAGGAGAAGAGGAATCCCCGCAGGACACAGCAGGCACACCCACGGGTTCCAAGGCTCCATCTCCAGGGAAGATCTTGCCGGGTTTCTTCCAGGAGCAGGTGGGTTCCAACTCTGACTCTTGAGACCAAATCCTTTAGCCACTGTCCCACAAAGGCTCCTGGTGTCTGCGGAGGAAGGTGATGGTCACACAACACTGACACAACAAGTGGGCCAGACTACACACCCTTAAAAATAGTCAAGGACAAAGCTTACGTTGCGGCTGACATGATTTCAGGAATAATAAAGCTGCCGCCTTGCTGCAGAAAGCCAGGCTGTGTGCACGTCCATAGCAGGCTGGCGGCACTGGTCCCTCTCCTTCCGCTGGGTCCTTCTCCTTGGTCAGCTGGTTGGCACTGGGCCTGGGGATGCAGTGCCTTCAATGTCTACAGCCCGAGTGAGGATGGCACCAAAGAGGCCGCCCTGCCGAAGGCTGTCCCCTGAACCCCACTGCAGAGCTCTGGCCAAATCACCCAGCACGCCCATCTGCCATCACCATCCCATTTCCGGGGCTCAGTCAAGATTCAGACACATGTATGCACACACGCCTGTGTGTGAAAACACACATACACACAAAGATTACAGCCCCAGAAATCCAGTAGAGGGCGGCCCGAGCTGACTGACCGGCAGTGGACATTAGGAGCAGTGAGGTGCTCCGAAGGCACAGTGGTCAGAGTTGGGCTGTTATCCAAAAGTGGTATTGGTTCAAACCCACCAGGTATGTGCGGGAGAAAGATGAGGCTGTGTCTTCCATAAATATTTACAGACATCAGGACAGTGTCCACCCTCGAAGGCACTTTCAGCTGGAATCGGTAGATTCTTCAGCTTGGTATCAGGAACAAAAAGACTGAGAACTGGTGGTCCAGCAGCTAAACACTTGGCTCTTCACTGAAAGGTGAGCCTTGGAAGCCACCAGGCACTGTGCAGACAGCGCAGCTTCTGCTCCTGACAGGACCCACGGCCTGCAGGCGTGCGGGCTACGTTGTCCCTCCAAGACAGAGCCAAGCGTCGTGGTCACCCACTCCAGGCTTGGTTTGGGTTTTCACCAGGAGCAAAAACAAAGACTTTGATCCTCCCTTTCCTGGGGAGGCAGGAGCAGGGTGGTCTCTCTACACAGCAGAGCCCCTCCTCCAGGACCTGGGTCACCACACAGGCTGACCCTGTTCCCTCCTTCAGATCCCTAACGCTCAGAAATCCATACAGGGCCTGTCCAACTGGACTTCCAGCTCTTCACAGTGAGGCTAAGGGCTGAGTGGGAAGACGTGGGGTGGGGTAGGCAGATGGGCCTCCTGTGTGCAGGGAAAATCCCCTCCTTGAAGGGCCCACCCCCCACTCCACTTCCGCCTAGGAAGTGGCTGGAGAGAACTGGTCAACAGCATTTTTCAGGGCCTCAAGGTAAATACACACTTGTGTCCACCGAGCTGCCTGGTGGTGTTCCTGGTAACCTGGACCCTCTGCCTCCCTCTTGGACCTGGCTCCCTGAAAGGGTCATGGACCTGGACCTGAGGAACAGGCTCCAGATGCATCCCGTGCCCTCAAAGGGCACCAGGAGGGCCTCTCCCAGGTCTGTACGGAGGACTCTTGGGCCTCCTAGACCAGCGAGGGCCACTTAATGTCCTCAGGGAGGACCTGGAGCCTGAGCGCCGGAGAGGCGGGGCAAGGGACCAGGGCGGGCGGCGATGGAAGTACCCGGGGCTAGGGGATCAGGGGTACGGGTGCGAGGACAGTGTGGTGCGGTGGGGGTGTCCAGGGGACCGGGGAGGGGCCAGGTGCCGGGAGGGGGTGGGGGAGGGGGAGTACGCCTCAGCACGCAGCCCCTGTCCTGACCGAAGCCCCTTCCCTCTCACCTAATCAGATGCCCCTATTAGGTGCTCAAGGCACCCCCGCCACGCCCCACGCCACCCCTTGCCCTGCCATGGCCCAGAGCCAGACGCCACCTGCCACGTCCTATCCAGAGGCCCGATGTCCCCCTCTCCACCCTGATCAGGGGCCCAAAACCCCTTATTTCATTCGGCCATGCCACGCCATGCCTCTAGAAGCCCCTTGCTACATCCTGTCCCTATGACTCACGCCCCCGCCCTACCCTGAACAGATGGCCGAAACTATTTCTTGACTCGCTCCGTCCAGGTGTCCGATGCTCGCTGACCCGTCTTGTCCCGATAGCCGAGCATCCCTTGCTCAACCTGTCAGTTGCCGAATGACCCCCAGCCCTCGCTGATCCGAGGCTGGCTCCGTCCCGCCCCGGCCCCGCCCCGCGCACAGTCAGGCCCCGCCCTCTGGGGGGGGTTGCTAGGGGAAGTGACGTCACAGCGTGATGGCGGCGGCTCCCTTAGGCAGCTGAAGGGGGTTTTAGGCCCGGAAGATCCGAGTCCATCCGCGGCGGGGAGAGGGCTAGAGGAGCCGATAGGGGCCGGAGCAGGGGCAGCGGCGCTCGGACTGTCCCATCCGCCCCTTATTGAGGCTCTGGGAGCAGCGGAGCGGCCGGAAAGCGATGGTGAAAGCCGGGCCGTGAGGGGGGCGGAGCCGTCACCCGGACCCGCAGTAGCGGCAGCAGCGGCGCCGCCTCCCCGGAGCTCAGACCCAGGAAGCGGCGGGGAGGACAGGAGCGAGTCGGGCCGCCGCCATGGAGCTGAGAGTCGGGAACAGATACCGGCTGGGCCGGAAGATCGGCAGCGGCTCCTTCGGAGACATCTATCTCGGTGAGGACGCCCCTCCCCCGCCGGCCCGGTCCCCGCCCCGGTGTCCGGAGGAGCGACCCTGCGGCTCGAGGACACCGGCCCCCTTGCGCGGCCCCCCGCCGCCCCTCGAGATCCTCCGCGGACGGCCCGGTCCGAGCGGCCGCGGAGCGGGGGCCGCACTGGCCGGAGACGTCGGGGGTCTCGGGGAGGCGGGGGGCCGCCGGTGCTCGGACCCGGGCCCCGCCCATCCCGTCTCGCGCTCGGTCCCGTTCTGTCCGCGGCCCGACCCCCCTCGCCCGCACCGGGAGAAAGATGAGGCTGTGTCTTCCATAAATATTTACAGACATCAGGACAGTGTCCACCCTCGAAGGCACTTTCAGCTGGAATCGGTAGATTC